AGTCCATGGCTGTGATGGTGATGTTATACTCCGCTGTCCTCTCCCTGTCCAGCGCCGCGTTTGTCCTCAGCTCGTAGTAATTATCGAAAGTGGGGATGAGACCGAAGGGCAAGTTCCCGTCGATCGAGCACTCCGTCCTGCCATTGTCACCGGAGTCCCGGTCCCGCACACTGAACAGGGCCACCACAGTCCGGGGCTGGGCGTCCTCCGTAATGGAGGCGGTGAGGGAAGTGAGTGCTATCTCCGGGGCGTTGTCATTCACGTCCAGGACCTCCACTTGCACTTTGCAATGTGCAGACAGCCCCCCACCGTCGGTGGCTCTCACCACCATTTCGTGGTTTTCTGCTTCCTCGAAGTCCAGGTTGCCCGTGAGCCGTATTTCCCCAGTGGCAGGGTTCAGCTCGAAGAGCTGCCGGGACCGCTCCAGTGTCTGGGTGAAGGCGTACCGCACTTTTCCGTAGGACCCTTCGTCGGAATCCGCGGCCGCGACTCGGACCACCAGTTGCTCTGGGGGGCTGTTCTCGGCCAGGCGCACCTCATAGACCTCCTGATCGAAGACTGGGATGTTGTCATTAGCATCCACCACCACGATCCGAACCTGAGCCGTGCCCGACCTGGGTGGCGAGCCCCCGTCGGTGGCGGTGAGGAGTAAATTCAGCTCTCGCTGCATTTCGTGGTCCAGCTGCCGCTCTAGGACGAGCTCCGCGTATTTTGCTCCACCTTTCCCTGTTCCGAAAGCAAGAGAGAAATGCGAATTGGACCCGAGGCTGTAGTTCTGCAAGCCGTTGCTGCCCACGTCCTTGTCCAGGGCGCTTTCCAGAGGGAAACGGGACCCGGGAGATGTCGTTTCGGGAATCTCTAAAACCATCTCCTTCTCCGGGAACACCGGGGAGTTGTCGTTCACGTCACGAACCTCCACCTCCCCTCGGATCAGCTGCAACGGATTTTCAAAGAATATCTTAAAGAAGAGTGTGCAGGTATCGCTCTGCGGACAGATCTTCTCTCGATCCAGTGACTCCTTTGCTGTCAGGACTCCGGTGTTTTGATTGAGGTGGAAAAGCTGCTCGTTCCCCTCGGACACAACGCGAGCCTTGCGAGCTGCGAGCTGGCTCAGAGCAACCCCCAAGTCCTTTGCAATATTGGCGACAAAGGAGTCCCTCTCCATTTCTTCCGCCAGAGAATAGCGGAGAGTTTCGGCCACGCTCTGACATACGCAAAAGCACAGAATAAATAACATCACTTGCCTCTTGCTGCCTCTGCTCCGTCTCCCACACGCCATTACTCCCCAGAAAAGCCATCCACTGTCCTCCGTGGTTCCCAGCATTTTTAAGCAGCGTCCGAGGCAGAGCGGTGTTTGTCAGGAATCCCGGCGTAAGGGGGTCTGAAAGTCCCCGAGCACTCCGACTCCGTGCCCCGCCGCCCTTCCCGAGCAGCTCACACGGCTTTTTTGTCTCACTGTGCCTGCAAACCCGGTGCGGACAGAGGAGCCTGCCGGTCCGTGGCCAATATCCCCACCCAGCGTCGCAATGGGGAATATTTCATCAGCCTTCTCATTAGGGGCAGAGATGCTGATTCGGAGTTTGATGCTTGAATCTGCACCCTCCGTGCCAAACCAAAGCCAGAAAGTGCAGTGCAAGTGCTCTCCTCGCTTGGAAGCAGGGTCCCTCCCTGCATACAGAGCGCTGCTCTGGGTATCACTTTCCACTTGCAACCGCGAAGTCTTCATACACAGCTCTTGTTTTTTCCTCTGTGTTGTGTAGGCATTGCAAGATCTGCTAGGATCCATTGTGGGATTTTCCTTCTCTTCTCCACTTGTGAATCAGCACAGGACAATTAGCAAGTGGGGCGGATCAGAGAAGCACCGCTATTGAATATGAGAGCTGGTGCCTGGGAAACGTCCCGAAAGCAAATGCTTCACTATCACTCTAGCTCACCACCAGACTAGAATGATAATGCTGTTCTAGGACACATGATCCTAATGCTGTTTTTCTTCACATCGTGTATCACACTATGCCCAAAAGACACACGACTTTAACGCTTTTCTGTGTGAAAAACGTTTTTCCCCTTAAGTGACAGAGTATCCTCCCTCGCCTGCTGACCCTTGCACCCATGTTAAGGCGTGTCACTGTATAACACATTTGTGAAAAATGTCCCCAGCCGTACACAAACATCTAAATATCGAAATGCTGCAACCTGTTTTCATGTTTTGGATGTTTACAGTCCTTTCTCCTCTAATGTTACCACGCAGGCTTAGAAATACTTTAAAGGTCCCTGTACTCAGAGGTCAAACCTGAACTCCCGTACCTGTGTAAGAATATACGGCCAACAGCTATTTAATACAAAAGGCAAGGAAACAAACAGGAGAGCTCATAAATTAAACCCCAGATACACAAATACTAACGAGTAGAAGCTAACGGAGACAATACCGAAGACCAGGGATCTAACGCCACTGATCGATGGGCCATTAAAGGAACCATTCAAGTGTAAACTCCAAGAGGTTCAAACAGAAACTTTGTAAATGATAAGGGGGAAAAAAAAGATTACCATGGATTATCAGAAAGGGTCTCATAGGAAAGAGCAAACTGATTACGAGACCTTTGAGGGGGGTTCTAGGAATATGCAAAGCTTATTATGGGATGATTAGAGGCAGGATCAAACTCGGTGAAAGGGAGAGGTCAAGGGTGGACCTGGGAAAAACAACCGTGGGGAAGCGGAGGTGGGAGAGGAGAGGGAGGTGACCTGAGCACGGCCTGGTAGTGCAAGCCAGGATCCGTACCGGAGACCAGATAAAAACGCCAGGGTCATGCACTCATCGCCGGCCCTGAGGATGACACATACCGGCGAGCTCCGGCAAACGCACACGCAATGTACTGGAGATGCTCACAGCTGCCTCCAAGACCAGTCTTCCTCTTACAGAATAAAAAAATGCAGGAGAAAAAGAAATACAGCTTGCACTACATATTTTCCATTCAGGCAATTTTAATTAATTTTTTACTATAAAAGGAACCACGCTCATTTTTTATATAGAAAGTATCCTAACCTCCTTGTTTTTGACACCTTTCCTTTAATTTCCTAGATGTCCCCCCCCTTTTTTTTTTTCTAAAAGAGCTGACACTGTCAAACAATACTCACCAGGTGAAGTCCTAGAAATTCGCTGATGCCTTCATTTGTTTTTAAATAAAAACTTCGCGACCGTATTGTTATCCAAAGCTGATGCTGCTATAGAATGTCCATTGTGAAGCCCTACCGTAACTATGCCTTTGTTTGGTTAATAGGTTGCTAATGACAAATTGTCCAGGAAAAAGGACACAAGGTGATGTATTGTCTTGACTACTAAACTATGAAGAGTTACTAAGGATCTGCCAAGAAAGAAAGTAGGGGAAAGGTAATTTCGGCAGGGGGAGATTGCGACCACTGACTCAATTAAAAACTAGAGAGACTACCCCCCCAATCTCCTTGAGCATGCTTAGTAAGTTAAAATCATACTGTGCCTTTAAATTTAAGTGTAGAAGATATGAACCATTAAGAGACAAGTATGCTTAGCTAATTTAATGATTATGTAGTAGGTAGGTGTGGTGTGTTAATTGTAATGTATAAAAGTTAGAGAAAACTGTGGTAAGTGTGCTAGCTTTGTGGAATCACCACTTTGCGCAACTTTGAGAATAAAACTGTACTCGTCCTAGTGTGTGAAGATTGGCTTACTGCACACCGGGTAAACGAGCCCTATTTAGGACAACAGTATCAGTCGGAGAAAGTAGCAACCAGGGTTGACTTTAGAATTCCCCAGAATTTTAGCTGCTAGAGGACTTTGCACGGATGCAGCCATTTTTTTGTGATTTCCTCTTACAGCCCTTTGACTTGGAAGTGTGATAGGATCTAAAAAAATTACATCAAAGGCCAGATCAGCTCTTTCTTCCTTTCTTCCCTTCCAGGGACGTGCCCATCTCTCGAGCTTCTATCATTATCACCAACACAGAAGCTTGATGTAAAACCAGCCATAGGCCAAGTACAGCAGTAGATGTATTGGGAATGTGGCTTCTCTCCTCATTCATGCCATGCAAAAATAACAGTGACACCTGGAATCCATTTGCTTTGTGCCCTTACCAGTGCCCCTGCTCAGCACTTGGCACCTCCGAGAGGGGAAGGTGTATTTGATTCCCTGTAACCCAATCCTTGGTATTGCTACGCAGCAGGGAACAGCCACGAGCTGAGAAGACCTTCCACAGACATTTCCCACTCTGACTGCAGTAACTCTGTAATTGTTACTCCCCTCATTTCCGAAGGAAAATGGTGTCCTTCAGCTTCAGGTGCAGAAGGGTGTAAGTTGAACAGTGATCGATAATGGAGCTCTTGGCTATCATTGTATCTTTCCACATCAGAAGATGCTGCTCTTAGACTGAAGTTCATATTCTTTCAGATTTTAGGAAAATGCAAAATAAAGAGGGTCACTTACCACGCACCATTGGACAGCTAATGCTGGTGTTTTCCGTTGGGTCACAACAATAAAACGGATGTGTATGAGTGGAAAAAAGAAGTATGTATACTGCCAGACAAAGGCACACTCTGTTTTAGGACAGTCTAAGGAACCATAGCCATAATAAGAATGTAATTTGCATAAACATGTCAGAGAATTCACTTATCTCTTTGAGCACATAGTGATGTTGCAGGCTTCCTCATTTTTTGGTTTAGTGATGATGTCTGTATCCTAAGAAGGTAGCTTTAAATGACTGAAACTCACTTTCATCTTTAATCTGAGATTTACATCAATGCTAGAAAAGAGCTAGAGCAACATATTCTGCTCAGTTCCTGGTACTTCTCTGTATTTCAGAACACAGTGTTCCTAAAAGAGGGTTCTCCGTGCACTTCTGCAGCCTGAGCAGTTTCACTTTCCAAAATCCCCTTCTTGGTCTTACAGATGGGAGTTCAGATCTGCCGGGTGAAAGCTCAGAGGCCACATGCCACGTTCTGTTCCCCCTGGATAAAGGCTTCTTCCTCATCCTTGGAGCCACTGCCCTTCCAACTCCAGCACACCCTGTGGATAGCATAGCTTGGGAGGAGCAGTTGCCTGCAGATCAAAAGCACAGATGCTTTCCTGAGTCACTGTTGTTTCCATGCCTGTGTGCAAAGAGAGACCAACGTTCCCATCCTCTGATTCCCAGCCAGCTCCCAGGATGGATTTCTCCTCTCACCTCTAGCACTCAGACAGCGCCTGAATTCCCAGCTGTCCCGCAGAACTGCTGCCCTGAGCTCTCTACTGGATGCAAAAGTGAGGAAAGCCGGGGGAATAATTTCCAACCTTCTGGCTTTCCGTTATGCTGTAAATACCACTGGCACATATGCTATTTGTGGTTCATTTTCCAAGACATAAACCGGCCTTCTCTCTCTGTCTGCATTCAGTCCAGTTAAAGCTTTTCCCATCATTCTGTTAAATGTAAACATTTCTTTCTCGCGGTATTAAGCTGGTGCTTACCAACCAAGGGGCTCTGCCTGAGTCACCCCAGACCGGCAGCGAAATCCTCCCAAATCTCCCAGGGATGGAGTGTGGCATCAGCGGGCTGGGGACAGCCTAGGACACCGTCTCACTCCTTCACTTCCCCATTCTGCCTTGTGCTCTTGGCGTTTCCAGACGGTTCTCGATGCGGCAATTCCCAGCACATCACTTGGAAAGGCTTTGAACTAGGGCGTATTCCAGTGCAACCGGGATATTTTGGCTGAGCTCTCAGCTAGTCAGCCATGCAGCATGTGACTGGTGGCTCACTGGTCTCTCCGTGCTTGGAAGCTCCCCACCCAGCACCAGCAATACACGCACAGTGCTGGCCAACAGCGGCACTGGGCGTCCAATGCAGGAACTGCACATGGGCGTCTACCCCCGAGTCTCAGCATTCATCTCCTCCTTTAGGTTCTGGCTATTGCTAGGGCAAATTATGAAAAACATTTCCTACCTGAAGTCTTTGGCAAATAAACGCACTTAGTACTCATTGAGACATTTGATTTGGCACTAATAACACAGGCCAGCATGATACGTCTAGAAGGTATCCTATGCAAACCTTCTGTTAAATGTGCTTAACAAAGATGGATGCTATGGGCAAATGTAGCAACATTGCTCATGTGTTGTGCACTACATCTTCCAGAAGTCAGAGAGACAATCGAGGAGTTTTCAAGCACAGGCTGGTTTCTATTTCACAAGGAGGTCTCCAACTATTGAGTGACTTCTCCTAGAATAATTTGAAGTTAAAAATTAATTCAGTATTAATGGCAGCATGAACCTCCACCACTCCT